CTGCTCTGAAATGGCAGTCTTTACCTAGCTATCTCAATTTTTGAATATACCTGTCAACACTCTGTCCTGTTTCCTGTTTACAATTGGATAGGAGATAGCAAGCATAAACCTCATTGGTTTGTTTGACATAGAGTCTGTTTAGTGTGTTTACAGCAGATTCAAAGTCAGTACAGTCAGATATCAATTCTTACACAGCATGTGAGATAAAGTTGCATAGTAGATCAAACTTCTCACCTTCTGATACAGCTAGTTTTAATGCGAATTTTTCAAATGTGTGAAGCCAGTGCTTCCAGATCCTTTGAGCGTCCGGATCATTAGGATCCACCACCAATCTTTCAGGTCTTAGAAAACGATCCATACTTAAGGTTAGAAGCACAATTAATCCACAGGATTCTTGTTCAATAAATTGTAGTGAGTAATAAAACACTACAGGAAGACATGTCTTGAAGCTAGGCTTTATTGAACAAGAATGATAAAACAGTTCACAATAACACAGTACACACACACACACACAAGCTGACCTGGACACCATGACATTTTGGCACACTAGAACAGATCAGTTCACAACACACAACAGGAAACATAAATACACAACAGTCATCTGTTTCTGTGGCGTACGGTTAACGAGGTTGTCATGTGGCCAGCACAACGACCAACCACCTTTACTTTTCCCCATCTAATGTCAGGTGCCTATTAGAGCTGGGTGGACTAAGAGGTGCCATAAATACCCAAACTTAAAATTCCCAGTCTTCACCAGGATTCGAACATCGGATCTCGGTTCAAAAGCCAAGTGCTTTACCTGCCCCAGACTTGCTGATCTCCGTCTCGACAGGTCTGGGAAACCAAAATACTCGCCCTGTATGGTGACATATATGCACTATGCAAGACAGCAGGGTTTCTGTCCAGGGCGTTTGCAAGAGACTATTTAAGCCTCTCAAGCCCTCACTCAAATGGAGTTTGATAATGATGATGATGACCACTCAGCCACCACGTCTCCCCTCGTTTTATATGCTAGGACAAATGTGTACAAGGGCTCTTTCTTTGCTAGTGCTATTAGAGCAAGGAATGGGTTGCATGAGCCAGCCAGGAAAACTAATGACTTGGCTGAATTTAAGTCATTGGTTAACATGCATGACTAGATGCATAACACATAGGATGTAATCATCTTCTTTTTTTGAAGTAACATCTGTATTTTATAAAATAAGATAACTGTAAATTACGATGTAAATAGTGTTCAGTGTATAGTGTAAGCTTGGTTTAGGACTTGTTAACATTATTAAATACAAGTATTAGTAGGACAATAGTAAGAAAACCAAATTATAACCTGATATTAATAAGTGAGAATGTTGTGTACCATGATTATGGCATGATGCTGGGGTGACTTTTCATTCTTGTAGGAAAGAGAAAATAGGAAAGTGACTTTTCAAATCCAATTAATCATTTACTAGAAACTATTTTTCTTTTGTATCACTTTTGAAAGACATGAAGTACTACACATTGAAAAAAAAAAAAAAGCATTTCATATTTGTCACAGGTAAAAAAAGTGAAGCTATTGTACTTTGCTTTATTTAGGTGAATTTGGTTGAATAGATAGCCTGAAAGTATGTGACGTTGAGCAAAAACTTTTCTGAATGGCAATGAAAAATATTTGTCAACATTTTTGTTTCAGAGAAAAGCTGACAAGCGTTTTGTCTCCCTCTTGATCTCTGTTATTTGTGCATACATTTCGGCCATTTGTGTAATCATAGGCCTGTGCACCAATTACTGGATTGAGATTAAGAACCGTAACCTTTACAGAGAAGAAACCATAGCCCATTTTGGATTGCAGAGGGTATGCTGGTCAAATAGCGACAGGTGTACCAATTCTGGCCTTGATTATGACAGAACAAGTAAGTCTACACTTATAAAAAATGACATGTATTGATAATAAACTAAGTCTGTGATTTTTCTAATCCCCCAGTCAAAAGCCATTCTTATTAGTAAATGTTTAGTTAGTATTAGCTATACATTGTATATCCATTTTCTTTTTATAACCATTTCTTCTTTTTGGTACTTTTGAGCTGTCTTGGCTGATACACTTGCCTCATGTGGTGTACAGGTCTCTCCTTATTGTATACTGAACTAATGAAAAATGAAAAACAAGTAAAAAATATATTACCATCAGCTAAGTTTGAGCCAAAGTTTCTTTCAACATGTCTAACTAAAATAAATGGTCCGAGATTTGTTGTTCTACATCTGCTAAGAAGAGATTATTCAGGTTTACTAACTGCATAATGAATTAGACTTAGCAAATTTTTTAGTGATACAGGATTACTTCAATATCACTTAAACATCATTATCAAAATGATTCTAATGATTTTTTCTTCAACAGAAGAGGGGGCAAAAATTAATGTTAATTAGTGGTACCTAATTTACTGGTCTCCTCTTAGTGTTACCTCAGTCTACTGGTCTCCACTAAGAGGTAGTTAGTTTTCTGGTATTCACCAATCTGTACTTCAGTTGGTCTTTACAGTATGTTACTTACTTTGCTGGTGTTACCAATCTGCACTTCAGTTTGCTGGTCTGTATCTGTTCTTTAGTTTCATTTTCTTCACTGAGTGTTGCTTACTTTGCTGGTATCCACCAATCTGTACTTCACTTTGCTGGTTTTCACAGTATGTTACTTAGTTTGCTGATATTCTGAGTGGTATATGTTAAAAAAGTTTATTAAGCACTTATTCTTTATTTACTATTTAACACTTATCTATAAATACTATTTTAAAAGCTGTTAGGTTTTAAATTTCTATTATTTTTTTATTTTTTTTTCATATATCAATTTTTTTCTCCACAGATACAGCACCAGCAGCTGAAGGACTATTGATAACTGGTGGCTTTGTTCTGGTTGTTGCGTGTTGTTTGGCACTTTTCAATACCTACCTTCACCAGCTAGGGAGGTCAAATCAAATACTGTCTGCTGTTATAGCTGCTGTACTGGTTCTAGCATGTACGTATATTGAAGAAATAGTGGGTTTAAAATTGAATCATGAGATCCTTTATTAAATATATTGTTACAATCTCTCCTAATCAGGCCTTGTGTAAACACTGCTAAACACACAACAACACATCAAGAACTTGACGACAAGGCTCCAAATAATCTGGTGCTTTAATAATGGTCAATTAAAACAGCCAATATGACACAATTGGCAATACATCAACACTAAAAATGCTATACTGTACATCACCATACTAAACTAATAAACTCTACTGTCTCTATCTCTTCCTGGACTCGTACATTCACTTCAGGACTCCACCAGGACCGACTTCATGACAGACTAACAGTCCTGGTCTACTTGCTGTCCTGTCTTGAACTCCACTGCCTTACACACACTGTGTCTCTGGTCCATGCAGGCTTATGATCAGATGACCATAACCCGGGTCCTATTCATGTGCAAAGTTCATGCCAGTACTGTCCCTTGTCCTTTGATATAGCACGCTAAACTGTGTTACTGGCCTGTGTCACATATGTCAACTGATCCCACACAGTTAACCCTAATGCATCAAGAATAGGGTTACAACAATATATATATATATATTTTAGTCACATGTTTTATTACTTGTAATAGGGTTGGGTCAGGAGACAGATCTTGAGTACATATTCTGTTGAGAAATGACATTTTTAATCTTGTATTGTAGCTCATCATAAGCACAGTAACAATATTTTGTCTATGGCATTCAATAGGGAAAGTAAAATCCTTTATTGTGCTGCTTACATGACACCCTCATTAACTGTTAGCAGCAGAAACACCTGCATTATGTCTCAAAGCTTGCATGTTTGGTTCTCACTTTCGTTAATGTAACTTTTAATTGAATGCGTAGCACTGTAAATAGACTTGGTGTAACTAAATGACTCATTAATGTTTTGTCAATTCCATTTAATTAGTGAAAGAATTATTGTGTCATTATGAGCCAACAAAACTTTATCCTTACCATTTCAATACTGCGCTAGTATTTGTATAACTGATTAAATTTGTTTTTATTTCAAAACTAAAATCTCTTCTTTTTTTTTTATCTTTGCAGCTATCTTTCTTTTTGTGGGTATTATTATATTTGGTGTCAAGGTTGAAGTCAGGACCGAGTACCTGAATGTGGGCAATGTCCAGTACATGGGATACTCTTTTGGACTTACCACCACTGCTGCTATCTTGCTGTTGATAGGTGCAGGCTTTCATGCTCTTACTAGCTGTTCACAAGCCCAACCAAAATTTAACCAAAATTTATTTTTTCAATAATACATTCACACTCAGAATTAAGCTACTGTCAGTGTAAGGCAGCTTCCTTAAAAAATTAAAAGATTTTTTGTAAATAATGTTAATGTACATCATTTTTTTTTTGGTAAAAATATGCCTTATTATCTATCACTCCAACATTCCATATTTTTAGATTTTTAAGAATATATGATTTTGATACTAAGGATATTATTATCTTTGTATATCAGTGTACTGTATGTTTTCCGTTTTTTTTTTAAATGAAGTTATTTGCAAATGCAAAAAAAAAAAGTTTTATCTTTTTTAATTAATTTGCCACGAAAATAATTTTTTTAATACATATACTCACAATTTTATTAATTTTTTTTTTCATAATGTCTGAGTATTTGTTTGCCATTTATTTTAACTATTTATTTTAATTCTGTTAAGCTATCAAAATCAATTTTGAATATGTTATCTTTACTAATGTTAAACTTATCTTTCCCAATCTTACAATTAGTTGACATTCTCAGCTTCAGGCTAGATCAGTCCAAATTTTTGAGCATCCTCTTTCATATGTGTCATTGTATTTTCTTTCGTTAGTGTCATTGTGTTTTCTTTCATTAGTGTCATTGTGTTTTCTTTCATTAGTGTCATTGTATTTTCTTTCATTAGTGTCATTGTATTTTCTTTCATTAGTGTCATTGTATTTTTTTTCATTAGTGTCATTGTGTTTTCTTTCATTGGTGTCATTGTATTTTCTTTCATTAGTGTCATTGTATTTTCTTTCATTAGTGTCATTATTTTGCAACAACTCTAAAAAAAATAGTCATAGATGAAATTTTTAATGTGTATTTCTACTCTTTTGTATAACATGAAATATAAAAAAAACGGTCATATTCTTTCTGTTTCACTATATCAAAGGTTTGGTACTGGTACTGGTTTCCTTTTATCTTCAGAGTTCATAAAAATAATTAGCTGTCTAAATGGAAAAACAAAACATGATCTAATCTTGTAAAGCTCAAAATAATGAACACGTTCATGTCTGTGCTGCTTGAGAAATAACTAAATGTAATCAAATTTGTATGTTAAATAATAAGTTTATGTCTGACATTTTTCTCCACCTCAATAATTAAAAATTTGCTAATTATTATTGTATAGTTGAATGTTACACATTTTCTTATTCTTAGTTATTTTGAACTTATGTCAACAAAAAAATGTATAAAATTAGAAATGATTACTTAACAAATATGTAATGAATTCTATTGTTCACTTGTAATAGCATCTAAGAAATGTGTGTGTTGTATGTTTAATTGATGTTTTTCTTGAAAAAAGTAAAATAAAATTTTATGTTAAATTTACTAGTTAATAACTATTAGTGAATAAGATTTTGAAAACTCTAAGTATTTTGTACAGTTCAAATCTGTAATCAATACTTGATTACATAACTAGTAAAAGTATGAAAAAATGTTTAAAAATAGATCTAGTTGAACAATAATAAATCTTTGCGATTAGAAATATTTGTATTAATTGTTCTTGGTTACCTTGACTTCATACTTACAGCTTGCTCAGTGCTTATGGTCCAATCATTTTTGTGGACCAGTTTGGGTGGGGAGGGGTATCTGGAAGAAAGTGTCTGTGTTGCCTTTTCAAAAGCAAGTTAAAAAAAAGTTTCTCAAGTCTGAATTCAAACTCGAGCCTCCCTGATGGAAGGTAATCTAATTCTATACATACATTTCCTGTATAAAATAAAATAATTATGACTAATTGATTAATTTATTAGTTAATTTTCTGTTCGATTCATGGTTTTATATAGTGCACTATGGTTCAATCTCTTTTGTGGACCAGTGGGAGAAAGGGGTACCTGGTAGAAAGTTTATGTGCTGCCTTTGGGCGCTCAACAAACACAACTTGGCTTGACTCTGAATTGGAACTTGACCCCCTTGTTAGATAGCCAAGTGGTTTTGGCCACCTTTCCAATTGTGTTAAGTTTCAACTTGATCCAAGAATGGGAAGTGGGAGAAATAATGTTAACAAGATTCACTTATTTCTATCTGCAGTGTCAATTAGTGACCACTAGTACAGTAGCTTGAATTTTCCTAACATTGTCCCAAAGGCATTGCAAAAGAAGAAGTTCTGATCTAGTCTGTGCCAACTGTCTCGTTAATTTTGAGTCACAAACTAGTTAGCATCACTTAAATAGTTGAATGAATCTGATACTGGATTTGATTTTTTAAAATTATTTTTAATGTTCACAAAATCTCGTCAGTTGTTCTCTTAGTATTGAGCTTCATTGGATATGTCTTGAAATAGTTTGTATTCTAGTTTTTAACACTAAGTTTTATATACCATTAAAAGAACAAAAAGAAACATGCAGAAGTATTGGTATTTCATTTTTTGTTACAAACCTACCTATGTAAATCTATATCTTGCTTCTCTCACCCCCCCTTTCAATATTTTAATTTGAATTATTGTACGTCAAAGTATTTGTGTGTTAGTCATGTTCAAGGGAGGCAGTGCTGACTAACTTTTGAGTTATTATACAAGTTTTGTTAAAAAAATTATATTTTTTTTTTACTTGTTCAAAATTATTCTCCCATAAGAATACTGATAATAACTTTCTCAAGTAATGACTTCTACCAACCCCTTTTTTAATTTCTGGATTTTAAGAGTCCCCCCCCCCCCCCCCCCCCCGTTCCACTCAATTCTAATGGGTACCTGACTTAAGATGGTAGGTCGTTGTGCTGATCACATGACATCCTGCTTGTTAACCATTGGTCATAGAAACAGATGGCTTAACATCAACTGCCTTATAGACTGCATGTTGTGAAGGTGGAACTACATAATCTTCTTAAGAGACATTCAAACTCATGATAGTTGTAACAATATATGAATGCCATATGCGATGATATATTTAGGGAGCCAGATGACAATGATGTCTTGGTTGATGTTACAATGAGATTATGTGGATCAGACAATGCATTTCTGATGTTCTAATTTTGTACAGTCCTTCCAATTAGATAGCTTCAGAATTCTACAACAATATCGTAATGCCGGAAATACTAGTCTTCAAAGTATAAACACTAGACTGAAATCTTCTTTAAAGCTTTTCATCAGGAACTAGGAATCACTTTAATACTATACACACTACACACATGAATAATGCAATACAATTTAAATTCTTTTACTCTAGTTGTCGCTCTCTTTCGAAACTGAATATCCTAGTCTTTAAATACTAAATATTTCCCCCTTTCTAGCAATGTCCAAACAACTTAACGGAAAAACTGCCATCGATCAAAATAAACTTGTCAAGAACATACAACCATGACCTTGCGCTGCAAATATACATCTAAAAATAAACTAAGTGCAACACTTCCTTAGGCTACGTGACAATAGTATATGAAGATAAATACACGTTTCAAGTTAATACAATTCCTACGATTAGCTGGCAATCTCTTCACCGGGATAATGGAAGTTGGAAGGGTATTTCAAAAATAACTAGAAATCAGGCAGTTTGTGTAAAAAAAAAAAGACTTATTGCAAGTGAAATTATATTTTTTCCCCAAATATAATTTTAATAATAATAAGGCTTTTCCTTGAGTCCGAACATTAATGAGGAGTGCAGTATTTCCCGTGGCTGCGCAGCTCCAGCTGTGACCTACATAATTTGTCACATCCAGCCAAGCATAACCATTGTCCGCAGGTGGTCGAGTTAGATTTTGTTTTCGCCGTCTGCGTTTGTCCTCGGCAGCGGAGTTTATCCGTGCGGCTTCTTCTTAAAATAGACTAACTTGATTGGGCAAAAACTCATTCAGCTTAATAAAGTAGGAAATGAGTTAAAACAAGATTACAAAGTTTGTGTGCAAACACAAACGAGGGCTCCAAATGTGGTCCACTATTATTATGTCGGATTTTCACAATCCTTTCTAGTTTACGAGATCTAAAAGGGACGGACGGACAGAACACACAAAACTAATAGCGTCTATTCTTCTTTCGGAGGCTGCTAAAAATTAGTCGTTAACATCCTTCTTCTTATGTTATATAATACTTCAAAAAAGATGATTACGTCCTACGCGTCATGCATTCAGTTATGCATATTAACCAATGACTTAAATTCTGCCAAGTCACTGGTTTTCCTGGCTAGCTCAGGCAACCCATTCCATGCTCTAATAGCACTAGGGAAGAAGGAGTATTTGTACACATTTGTCATAGCATATGGGACGAGGAATGTGCCTTTATTTTTGTGCCTTTCTGAGTATTTTTATTAAATTTTGTATTTGAAGATTATGGTTCAGTGTTTTATGTATAACTGCTACTTTACTTCTAAGTCTTCTATCCTGAAGGCTTTCTAAATTTAGTGATTTTACTTAAGGTGTTACTCTGGTCAAGTGTAAATATTCGTTTGTTATGAATCTCACCGCTCTATTTTGTGTCTGTGCCAGTTTCTTAATGTTTTCTTGAGTTGGGGGGTCCCAAACAGAGGAAGCATATTCTATTATTGGCCTAACCAAGGTTAAATAACATGTTAGTTTTATGTTCTTATTTGATTTATAGAAATTTCTTTTAATAAACCCTAATGCTTTGCTAGATTTCTTGATAGTTTTATCAATATGGGGACAGTTTTTCATTTATTGAAGAAAGCATCCACTTCGGAATCGCCACGGGTAGATTGAGCGTTTTGGTGTTCCGTTAGTTTCATACGTTGGCCCTTGAATTGACCATGTTTTTTTCTATATGTGATCGGTTGGCAAGATCTAGAAATAGAGACATGTTGAATTATTAGAATATTAAATAATATCAAATCTTCCTCCACGTATTTTACTCTCTCTCTCTCTCTCTCTCTCTTTCGATCTCTCTCTTTCGATCTCTCTCTCTTTTATATATATACATATATAGAGTGCTATTTTTCTAAAAAATTGGTGCCGGTAACATGGGCGTCAGCAGGATTTTTTGCAGGGGGGTGCACTCATGGCTCAAAGTCGTAACTGCAACTTTTTTAATTACAAAGAATATTAAAGAAAAGAAATGATGAATCACGCTACCCACACTTACGCGATATTAAGTTCACTTAAATACTTGTTTCATGAAATAAAAAAAAAAAAACAATACGTGAACAAACTATTTACTGTACCCTTTGGTCAGTTTATCCGTGCGGCTCATGCATCCCGACGGTCGATCAAACAAAAAAATGCAAACGTTGCCAAAACTGTCCATTACTTGACCACTGAATTGCTTCTCGTCGCGATGGACAAGAGGGCGATGAACGCTTATCTGAAGTGCTGATATTCTTCATAATGTTGCAGCTCTTGCATCGTTTTAGGATGTAGACAAAACAAGTTGAACTGAGCATTATTCTTGCTTGAACGTTCATGAAGAAACTAACTAACAAAGTGACGTAATGTAAAATCGTGTTCTGTAATAACTCCCGAAATCCAAACATGTTTTTCTTGTCTCCGTGTGTCTGTCGATTACAAATTCTCGATAGCACCAGCTCAATATCCTGTTTGCCTGCCAGCAGTCTCGCCTTTCTCAAGATGCCAACCTTGAAGTGTTCCTCAACATGGCCAAGTTGGTATTTACGTCGTTAATGCGACTGCTGATGTGCTGTTAAGCGGCCACTTATGCAAAGGTGGATATACTGAAAAATCACAGAAACTGGTTCATGAAAAGATGAATAATTGACAATTAAACGAAAAATCAGAAACACATGAGAAGCAGGCACAGATTACACATATGCAGTTTGTCAGGTTTCACTTACAGCCGTTATTTTAAAAAACGCCAAACAGTCAAAGATCTTCTCAAAGTTGTGACTTAAAGTGCGAATGAATTCGTATTTCTCAGTCCGACGTGTCTCAAACAAAAGTGGTAAATTTAGCCTTCTCTTAGAACTGTTATGGAAGAAATAGATAATCTTCTGGTTGAATCCAACAGCATTGCGCATATCTGAAATGGCATTCAGGTCAATAATAACAAATTTAAGTCTGTGGGACTCTCAACGGACAATGTCTGCTTTAGGTTATTTTTTTACGAATCCTTGCCTGAACACAGTTTTGAATGCTACCCATCACGGGACAGCCATCGTAGCCTTGTGGTCATGTTTACCCTGCTATTTTATTTTATTGTGCGCTAACACTGACCGCAACTCGCAAAACGTAAATACATTTACCAAGATGACTGCACTCTTCAATCTTGTTCAAAGAAACTTTCACATATATCAAATCAAAAGACAGCTGGCAAGGTTTTTTACTCCAAGACAAAAAAAAACTTTTTTTCTATGTCTTTACCAAATATAATGATAACTATTAATTATATGCAAATGAAAACAAATCTTTACGACTAACGTGCTATAGAATATTGAATATTGGACATGGTAGGACATGAACTACAGATTGACTCGTTACAGTTTATTACAACAATAGCTTATCCTTATTAACTTTATTTGAATGGAAGCACTACATGTTAAGTTGCTTCCAAACAGAAGTTAATTAATTTGAAGGTGACAAAAAACTGGCTAAAATTTGTCTACCCAGAATTCAGAGGGGTGCACGTGAATGGCCAGCCATCAATGCCTGATAAGACTAGGCTAGTCTGCTACAACTTTACTTCAGTCACTAGTGGAAGCACTACTTGTTCAGTTGCTACTTAGATTTTAATTGGTCTAATGGTGCAAAAAGTGGCTAGAATTCGGCTATTCATAATCTAGGGGGGTGCAAGTGCACCCCCTTGCACCCCACTGAGGGCGCCCATGGCCGGTACTAGGTGATGGGTTGCCTAACATTTAACAACTTATAAATTAATAATAAACGTTACACTATAAGAAAAAAATAATTTTTCCCCACAATGAAAAAGGCGCCAGAAGGCCGTACCGTATATGAAACATATTTTTTTTCCTATAACTTTCGCTGTAATATCATTCTCTCTCTCTCGCCACTATTTAAAAAAAAATTGGCGTTTGAATCCTGCGTTTTCTTTCCTTTAAGTGCACAATATCTATTCACAATCCAAACGGCAAGTACCAACAGCAACAGGCCTTCAACAGACGCGAGGGCAATAACACAGGTGGCAACATTTTTCTATGTCTGTAAAGACAAATCAATCAATCTATGTACTAAGTTTGATTTCAATGTTTCTGTTGAGTAGGCCTAGTGAACTGAATGCACGTGGAAGTAAGAAAATAATATTGATTATGGGGGGCGCGGTGGCAGAGTGGTTAGTTGTCACGATCTACCTTTCAACCACCACAACATCAACAAGTATCATAGATCACACATTTTTTTGCTAATTCACATTCCAGATATACGTCTTACTGGTTGGTCAAAAATTTTAAATTGGCATAATGTTTAACGTAAGTTATTACATACCTTCGCACAGCAC